GTGTGCTATGATTCCTAGGGATATTTGTGTTTGCATGGTCAAGTTTGTCCAGCAAATGGCATTGTCTCCTTTCATGGTGTCAGAAGTGTAAGCAAGCCAGATGTTTTTGCCCTCTGCCAGAATTGAGGTTTTGCTTTCTTACCCTCACTTTACCATACGACTCCTGAAAGCAGTGCTTGGCACCCAGTAAGCACATATTAAATATGGGACTGAATGGGCATATTGAGAAAATTCGGAACTAAATCCAGGAATCCGAGTTTGGAAGGAACCTTGTTTTGAATGGGACTGCTGCTTCTCACCACCTCAGAGTTTTTCTGGTTAGGAGGCTTTTGATGACTGCTTCTATTTCATTAGGGGTTATGGGTCGATTTAAACTGTTTATCTGATCTTGGTTTAATTTTGGTAAGTGATATTTATCCAGAAAACTGTCCATTTCCTTTAGATTTTCGAATTTTGTGGAGTACAGGTTTTCAAAGTATGACCTGAAGATTCTCTGGATTTCCTCAGTGTCCGTTGTTATATCCCCCTTTTCGTTTCTGATTTTGTTAATTAGCATGCTCTCTCTCTGCCTTTTGGTTAGTTTGGCTAGAGGTTTGTCTCTCTTGTTGATCTTCTCAAAGAACCAACTCTTTGTTTCATTGATTCTATGTAATGTTTTCCTAGTTTCTACTTTATTGATTTCAGCTCTCAGGTTGATTATTTCCTGGCGTCTACTCCTCCTTGGTGAGTTTTCTTCTTTTTGCTCTAATGCTTTCAGTTGTTCTGTCAATTCTCTAATGTGACTTTTCTCCAGTTTCTCCAGTGGGCACTTAGTGCTATGAACTTCCCTCTTAGCACTGCTTTCAGAGTGTCCCATAAGTTTGGGTATGCTGTGTCTACATTCTCATTAAATTCTAGGAAGTCTTTAATTTCTTTTTTTATTTCATCCTCAACCCAGAAATGGTGCAATTGGGTCTTATTCATTTTCCAAGAGTATGTAGGTTTTCTGCCATTTGTATTGCTGTTGAATTCTAGCTTTAATGCATGATGATTGATAAGATACAGTTTCAATTCTTTTGTAACTATGGAGGTTTGCTTTGCTGCCTACTATGTGGTCAATTTTAGAGAAGGTGCTACGTGGTGCTGAGAAGAAGGTATATTTTTTTGAGTTTGTATGTAATGCTCTATAGATATCCGTTAACCCCAGTTGGGTCATAACTTCTTTCAGATCCTTTGTTTCTTTGTTAAGTTTCTGTTTGGTGGTCCTGTCTAGTGGCATAGGGTGGGTGTTGAAGTCTCCTACTATACGTGTGTGTGGTTTTATGTGTGGTTTGAACTTTAGTAATGTTTCTTTCACAAATGTGGGTGCCTCTGTCTCTGCAACTGGATTCCAGTTCAGCTCAGTGTTTAGCTGTGGGTGTCTGATTCTACTTCCACCAGCTGCTGGATGAAGGCTCTAGGATGGCATATAAGTCAGTCATCACCCTCATTATCAGGGGAGGGAGTTTAAGGTAGACTTTCCATTGTCACTTAGATGGTTAATTGGTGTCATCCTTGTAGATCTCTGGACATTTCCCTAGTGCCTGATTTCTCTTTAAACCTATGCTAGCTCCCTCTCTGATGGTATCTCTTATTTTGCTCTCCTCTATTCTTCCCCCTACACAAACTTCCCGCTCCCTTGTGTTCTTTTCACCCCTCCTCTTCTCCACTTCTCATTCTCCTAGCTCCTTCTCCTCTCTCCTTGTGCTCCCAATTTGCTCAGATATTGTTCCTTTCCCCCTCGACATGTATGTCTCTCTTAGTGTCCTCCTTGTTGCCTAACTTCTCTAGTGGTGTGGATTGTAGGCTCGTAATCCTTTGCTCTATGTGTAAAATCCATATATGAGTGAGTTCACACCATGTTTGTCTTTTTGTGATTGGGTTACCTCGCTCAGGATGGTTTCTTCTAGTTCCATCCATTTGCCTGCAAATTTCAAGATTCCATTGTTTTTTTTTGTTTTTTTTTCTTTCTGCTGAGTAGTACTCCATTGTGTAAATGTACCACATTTTCCGTATCCACTCTTCAGTCGAGGGGCATCTAGGTTGCTTCCAGATGCTGGCTAATACAAATAGTGCTGCTATGAACATCGTTGAACAGATGTCCTTGTTATCAATGAATACAAAATGTCTTTGTATATGTGGGATTGCTACATTAGGGTCAAAACCTTTATAATCTAGTTAGAGACATATAGGCTTTAGTAAATGAGGAATGAAACTTACATACTGATTTGTACCAGCAGGAGTCAGAGGTATGATCTTGTGATTAGGTTTTTATTAGGAGTTTACCTAGGTAGACTAGTTAGGCTAGCATTTACTTGAGAGCATTTTCCCAAAATATGGGTCTAACACTTGAGAAAGGACTGCGGTTGTGCTTAGAACTTAGAAAAAGTGATGCTCAATGTTTATTGATATGATAATACCTTAATTCCCATGAACAATGATAAAGTAATGAACAAAGAGCCAAGTAAAGTAAGAGTGACACATTGGGGTATATAAGAGCACCAAAACATTTGCCCCTTATGAGGCCCTATATCTACTCAGGATATGAAGTTGATGCTTTTGAGAAGGTACCAGAACTACCAAGGTTCAGGGATGTCTTTCATTCACAAAGAATATGGTGTGGGGAGTGGCCATGGAGACAATGGGACCTGAAGTGTTAGATGCCAGATGGCTTTGCTTATACAGGAACTCAGGCTGCTATGATTACAATGATTGTCAAGGTCAAAGGACATCCAAGGGTCCGTGAATACTGGTTATTGTGGATATAGTAGAGCATGGCAAAACATCCTAAATACTCATCCAAATCTCTCCAGAAATCATCTGCAAATGTGTCCTCTAAATCTCAGGTACACCCTTGCTTCTGTCTGTGTCTTAGCAGATTTCATTCTGCTAAGAGCCAAGATTGCCTAAGATTCCTCTTTTTCTGAGTCTTCCTTTAAAAAGAGTTCAGATAATTCCATCACAGCAGTTTTCATTTTGTTCTCAGATAAGTCAGAAATATTCTTGGGAGTAATCACGAAATCCAATGATGTATGATAGGGAATGAGTTTCCAAGATATCTGTATCTTTAAAGAGGTATCTTTAAAAAAATTGTGTGTGTTGGTGAGAGCAGGAGAAGAGGAGTGGAGGAGAGGAAATGGAGGAGCAGAAATATTGAGTTGGGGGAAGAATAGAGGAGAGAGAGCAGGATGAGAGATACCATATTAGAGGGAGCCACTATAGGTCCCAGGAGAGATCTGGCACTAGGGAGATCTCCAGAGACCTACAAGGATGACACGATCTGTCAATCCCGGCAATAGTGGAGAGGATAACCTAAATGCCCTTCCCCTAAAATGAGATTGATGACTACATTTTATGCCATCCTAGAGCCCTCATCCAGTGGCTGATGGAAGCAGCGACAGACATCCACAGATATACACTGAACTGAACTCTGGAACTTAGTTGCAGAGAGAGAGGAATGAAGATCGAAGTGGTCGGTACCAGGTTGGAGAAACCCACAGAAACAGCTGGCCTGAACAAGGGGGAGCACATCGACCCCAGATGCTGTCTGGGAGGCCAGTACAGGACTGATCCAGACCCCTGAACATAGATGTCAATGAGCAGGCCTCTTCACTCTAGGGGCCCTGGTTGTGGATTAGTATTTTTCCCTGGTGTAAGAAGGGACTTTGAGAGCCCATCCCACGTGAAGGGATGCACTCTTGCCCTGAACACATGGGGAAGGGGCCAGACCCAGCCCAGGAAGATGTGGTGGACATTGCAGAGCCCCCGTTGAGGTGTGAAACAAGCTTGTTCCTAACTTGAACTAATAAAAAAATTAAAAAAATCATGTGTGTTGTTATGTTTGTACATGTGTGTTATATGTGTGTTGTATGTGTGGTGTGTGTGTGTGCACATGCGCATGTCTTGTGTGAGAGAGAGGGTGCACTTGCCAATCTATGAGGATGTGGAAGCCATATTTTGACATCTGATGTCTTTCCTCAATTGTTTACCACCTTATTATCTGAGACAGGATTTCTCAATGAACCTATGGCTTACCTTATAGGCCAATGACCAGTGAATATCTGGAATCAGCTTGTCTTTGACCCCTACTTTAAAATTTTTTTTTTTGAGACAGGGTTTCTCTGTATTGCTTTGGAGCCTATTCTGGAACTCACTCTGCAGACCAGGCTGGCCTCAAACTCATAGAGATCCACTTGCCTCTCCCTCCCGAGTGCTGGGACTAAAGGCATACACCACCAATGCCCCACTTGACCCCTTCTTGTATGTTATGGTTAAGCCACTATGCCCAGCTAGTAGTATATAAGTGCAGGGAATCTGAACCCAGGTCCTCATGTTTTCAAAGCAAGTGCTTATAGTTGAGCCATCCCTTCAACCAGAAAAGTAATATCAAGAATTATCAGAGTAAGAAACTCTAGAAATGGAATTGTTTAAAGCTCAAACAATAGTGATCTAGAAAAGAATTTTCTACTTGGTGTAATAATCTCTTCTGAGAAAGAGGTCACAGTTTCTGACACTGTATTTGCACTTTGATAGTTGAGGAATTAAGAAAAGATGATGGGAATAACAGTCAATAGGCTGATCCTTCAATTTATGACAAGCAAAAAGAGTTTTAACTTGTATTCTGTATACATTCTACCAATATAACTTTTTCTGCCTCTTTCATTCTTTAAAGGTAGATATCAGAAAATTCTTGAATTAAGCCAGGTGTTGGTGGCACACTCCTTTAGTCCCAGGACTTGAGAGGCAGAGGCAGGAGGATCTCTGTGAGTTTGAGACCAGACTGGTCTACAAGAGCTAGTACCAGGACACTCTCCAAAGCCACAGAGAAACTCTGACTGGAATACCCCCCCGCCCAAATTCTTGAACTCGTTTGAAACAGATTTGCTGACACCATTTCACACCCAGCTTACTTGAGATATCACTTCAACAAAGAGGAGGCATATCCTGAATATCGCTCAACATTTCCATTTATTTTGAGGTCACTAAAATGAATAAAGATGCACTAATTTTCTGACCACATCATTGAAAGCTTGTTTGACCTGCTTATTCCTTAGCGTGTAAATAAACGGGTTCAGTAAAGGGGCAACTGAGGTATTGAGCACACCCACACCTTTATTGAAGGCAACTCCTTCTGATGCTGAAGGCTTTATGTACATGAAAATGCAGCTTCCATAAGAGAGGGAGATGACAATCATGTGGGAAGAACATGTAGAAAAGGCCTTCTTCCTCTGCTGTGCAGAAGGGATCTTCAGAATGGTCCTGATGATGCGAGTGTAGGAGAGAATCACCAGCAGCAGGGTGACTATCAGGGTCACGACTGCTAAGACAAAGTCAAAGAGTTCCAGCAGCCTTGTGTCTGAGCAAGCTATTTCTATGAGGGGCCCATAGTCACAGCAATAATGATTGAGTACATTGGATGCACAGAAATCCAGCTGACTGGTCAAGATGATTGGGACTAAGATGATTAGGAACCCACTCAGCCAAGAGCAGACGACCAGCAGGGTGCACACCCTGTTGCTCATGATGGTGGTGTAGTGCAGGGGCTTGCAGATGGCCACATAGCGGTCATAGGACATGGCAGTCAGAAGGCAGAATTCAGTGGCTCCGAAGAAGATGGCAAAGAAGTACTGAGTGAAGCAGCCAGCAAAGCTGATGGTCTTAATTCCTGTAGAGATGCTGAAGAGCA